CCGGACCCCCCGCCGCGCTGTGGATCATGGTGCAGGACCCGCCGGAGGATGAGGTCCCCGGCCGCTGGGTCCTATCTCTGAGTGGTTCGGCTTCCCCCTGGGAATCACAAGGGGGGTCCCATGGATGGGGACGGGTCTGCAGGGTGGCAGTCCCCTGTCTCCCCACACTGGCTGGGCTCTGCCCTTTGCATCCCCCACTGGGTTACACCTCCCCGCATTCCTGGAGAGGGACTTTCTAACACCCTCCCTCTGTCTGGGGTGGCCCCGAGGGGTATGGGGCTCTTTGCCATCTTGCATGTGGGATGGCGGTGAGGACCGTGGCTGGCTCCTCTCCCCAGCTCCCCTTGGGGCTGGATCCTGCCCCACGTCCCAGCACTGGCCAGGTGGGTAACAAGCGCCTTCTCTCCGCAGCGGTGCAGTTCGATGCAGCCCCAGTGGGACAGCCCACGGACGTGCAGCATCCGAAGAGCAGGATGGAGATGACCCTCGGCTCGACGGGCAGTGCGGAGAATGGGATCCCAGCAGGCAAGTGAGGCCACCACTGTCTGCGGCCTGGGGGCGGGGGCGGTGGCCCCAAGGAGGCCAGTGCGGGCGCTGGCTCCCCCCATCCTGGGGCAGGACAGAGGCACTGCAGGAGCCGGGCTGGCACAGCTTCAGGGGTTGAGCCACATCCCCTTGGCACGACGGGGCAAAGGAAAGAGTCAGGGCCATCACCTGGGGCTCCGGACATGACAGGAGGCATCATCCTTGACTGGGGGCCCACCATCCTTCAGCTGACACGGCCAGGACCTTCGTGGACTGGTGGGGACCCTGGGGCCTCTCCTACAGGACAGGGGATGGGATGGACAAGGTTGAGCCTGAAGGAAGCAGTGCAACAGTGAGCTCTGCCTGAATGCCAGTGACATTGGGACAGATGGGTATGGCCGGGGAAACGGCTCCCCCTGAGCCCCCACGTTGAGAAGGGGTTGGAGAGCTGCTGCTGCAGCAGGGACCCGTCCTGGCACCATATCTGGATGGCGCGGTGACATGGCCATGCTGCTGGACACTGTCCTGCCCTGGACTGTCCTTGGGCTAATGGGGGACACTGGGGAAGGCAAGGGGGACCCCGACTCCCTGTACCAAAAGTGTCCCCAAACAGGACCTTCTGCTGCTTACTCTGGTGTTGCTTTGATTTGTGGGACCCTGCAGGGTGTGGGAGAGCACAAATCCCACACAGAGCTTCGCTGGTCATTGGCATCCCCCTAAATCTGCCAGCATCCCACAGTCGGGCTCCAAAGCCCCCCTGCTGCCACCCCGAGCCCCTCCGGTCACCCATCCTGCTGCGCCCTTGTCCCCAGGGATTCCCACGGTGGTTTGTGGGCAGGCGACCTGGGAGCAGCGCTGCCCGGCTTTGCAGGCGGGGACGGCAGGCAGGGGACGGGATGGCTCTGCCCCGACAGGCAGCGCAGACGCGAGTGCCTGGAGCCACCATGCTCCGCAAGCCGGAGCCTGAGCCCCAGCCCTGCGGCCGGAGGCGCTGCAGATCCTCCCGGAGATTGCCTGGCTGCGTGGGAATCGGGGAGCGCGGCACCCCATTGCCCCGGGCTGCGGCAGCCGGCCCCAGCCTGCGCATCTCCGTCAGCCTCCGCCCGACCCCACTGGGGCCCGTGGGGTCCCGTCCCTGTGCCAGAGCAGCTCCGGGGTGGTGGTGGGGAGGGATGGTGGCATGGCCGGAGCCCACTCACCGTGCAGGGCCAGGCTCATGCTGGCTCTTTCTGAGCAGCCTGGGAATAATCATTTTGCTGTTTTTCCACCCAAGGAAGCCTTCCTGGCTGTCCCTGGGCCTCAGAGCTTCATTTGCTGAGAAACCCCCCTGCTTGTGAGCGGAGACAAGTGGGGGGTCCAAGCTGGGGGCATGCAGATGAAGCCGGATCCAAACCCCGCACAGACGGAGCTCTGCACCGTCCCTGCGCCACAGCAGGGACAGAGGGACCAAACCACGGTGGGCTCCAGGGATGGTGGGACCTGGTCCCCTGCCCACGGGGAGATGCTCTGGGCATGGAGCCCTGTGTGGACCAGACCCCCAGACTGAGTCCCCACAAACATTTCGGGAGGGAATGGGGTTGTCAGCGGTTGGAGGAAGGTGCTGGCGCTCACATGGCATTTCCATGGCAAGGATCTCTGTCCCAGGGTTTCTCGTAAATCCCCAGCTCCCAGAGTCAGGGGATTCAGTGAGGCTCATTCAAAGTCCTGTGAGCATCCTGAGCCCATGCTGCGGCAGGGCAGCGCCCAGGGGTGGGAGCACCCAGTGCCAGGGGTTTTCCAAAGTATTCTGAATTTCGAGCCAGTTTTGGGGGGCCTGAATCACCATTTTCAGCTTTCCAACTCTCTCACTCACTGTAAATAGGTATTTTCTGTTTTGCAAGTGCCAGCAAGGAGCTGGGGAAGAAAATGGTCAAGATGGGTGTGTGTAAGTGCCAGCCCTGGCCGTGTACGTGTCCATCACGCACTGACAGATGAGGCGGCAGAGAGGCCGCAGTACCCATGAGCTGGGGAGAAATTTAGGCAGTTAATAGAGGGAGAGGGACAGAAAGAGCAAGGCAAATCGCTGTGTTGGTGTTTCAGGTCCAGTCATGGGGAAGGTCAAGGTTTTCCATCCCCATCCCAAGCTGCTCATCACCGTGCGGGAGCCCCTGTCTGTACCACGTATCCCCCAGGTCTGGGAGTTTCTCCTGCGCAGACACCCAAATCTGCCAGATCCACCCTCGGCGGGTGCATTCACAGCCTGACCCTGGGAGCAAGGGCGGGGGGGGGAGAGCCGAGCCAGCGGCGTGCGGGTGGGAGGCAGGATGGCTTCACCCGCCACCTGTGAGGGCTGAATTTGTCCTGCAGAGGAAAAGATCACCCAGAGACTGGAAAGCAAATAAACAGCCAAAAGACTCGGCCAGACAGCGGAGCAGGGACGGGGCCAGCGGCTGGTGCATCCTCCATCACCAGTAACATGGTGCCAGCACGCTGCTGGCCCGGATGGGGCTCAGTGTTGGTGCGTGAAGTTGGGTAAATGGGGTGATTTTACCCGAGGGAAAATCTCCTGCAGGCAGGGGCTCAGGGAGCAACCGGGTTTGCAGGGGAAAGCAAGCGTGGGGAGAAAAGGGCCCTCGGAGCCTTGCAGGAGGCCAAGCCTGTGAAAGTATTTTTAACTGACTATTTGCACAGAGTTAGGGATGCAGGGGAACGCTCAGGGCTCTTCCAGCCAGCCCGAAAAGCAGGGAGAGGACACACGGGAAGTGTTTCTAATGACCCTGGGGGTGGGGAAACTGAGGCACGGCAGGTGGTTGGGAGGCATGTGGCCTCGCAGCCCCCCCACAGCACACTGGGTCCTGCTGCGAGGAGGGGCTGGCTCCTGGGGACCACTGTGCCGGGGACACCAAGCAGAGCTGGGGCTGCACGTTGAGCCCCAAAATGGAGTGAGGTGCCCTGGAGCTGCCTGAGTTCAAAGGCAGGAGCCTGAAAAGCCGGCTCTGCTGCTCCCAGTCCTGAAGTGCCCCTGCTCCATCAGCCCTCCTGGTGCTGGGGCTCCTCTGTGCAGGATGGGGGCTGTCCTGTGCCTCCACCCCTGGGCCAGGGACTCTGCCAGCACCCATGGGTGCTGAGGCTAGCACCCTTCATGCAACACTGCGAGGGTGAGGTCGGGTGCAGGGGATGTGGCAGGGGGAGCTTCAGGGCCCTTTTTTCCACCTGACGAAATTCCAGTGCCCAGCCCTGGCTTTGGGATCAATTTGGGGTTGGCTGGACCCCCCAGCAGCCGGTGAAGGCAGTGGGGGTCACGCTGCCAAGACGGGGGGTTGCAGCATGATGGTGCCAATGCTTTTTGGCAGGTGAGACCGTGTGTACCTCCTCCACCATTGTGTGCCCTGTGGGGAGACTGGCAGTGCCTCGCTTCTCCTGTGAACATTGGTGTAGTTTGGGGGTGGTTTTTCCTCAGATAAAAATGAAAAGAAAACAAAGTCACAGTTGCAGCAAGCAGTATTTTTTTTTTTAGCTTTGGGTCAAGTTTCTGGCTTCCTTCAGATGCTCCTAAAATTATTGCATTGCTGACCATCCTTATTTATAATTCCTAAATCACTGGATTTCGTTCTGGAAACCAGAATGTGTCCCAAGCAGTGCCAGGCTGGGGAGCTGCCCTGTGCCCTGCCAGGTCTGCACGCCCATGCTCTGGGGGGGCAAACAGCCGGGACATCCACGCCACTGCTGCAGTGGGTTTGGCCACCTCCAATAAAGTCCTCTTGAGTTTGAGCATAGGAAGAAATGCTGTCGTCCGTAACACAGAGCTTGGGATGCTGAGGGGGGTCCAGGCATGGACTGCAGGGATTGCACGTGTATTAATTCCCCACCTCCAATGTCTTGACGTTGTCTCTTGACGAGGGTGTCCCAGGGAGGTAGAGGAGGCGGTGGGTGATGAATGTGGTTGTGAGCATCACCCACCAGTGGAGCTGGGGCTGCGGGAGCTGGTGGGAGGGAAGGGGCCCACCGCCCCTCCTGGCACCGCATGAAGAAACAAAAATAGCGGCCAGGCGTTGCTGGAGCTGCAGAGGGCAGCAACGGAGCTGAATACACACCAGCGCCCGTCCGTCACCCACTGTCCCTGATCCTGAGTCGCCAGGCTGCCCTGGTGATGGGGGTGGCTCAGCCCAGCCTTGCGGCAAAAGGGGATGCTGAGATGCGTGTCTCAGAGACAGATGGGAGGGCCTGGAAATACCCTGAAAACGTCTAAAAAGTGTGTCAGGGTCCCTGCCTGGGCCTGGAATTTTGCATTATTGGGAATAGTCTTTTTTTTTCCTGTGAAATATTTTGCCTTAGGCTGAAAACCAGGCTGGTTTTTAGGATATTTAAACTGACATTGCTGTTGAACCATGTCAGCCCGTTAACGCAGACAGAACAGCTAATATCCTCCTCTTGTTTATAAGAGTCGACAAGATCAACATTGGGAAGGTTTCATGTGTCAGTTGGCAAAACCACGGAAAGCTTAAAGTCTTCAGTGGGTGGCTCAGCTCCATTTTAATAATGTCTTTCCACTATCCCAAAGTAGATAATTCCTCCTTATTTAATAAAAACTTTCCTACATGCCAATGGCACGAGGCAGGGAGCATGTGCTATTCGTAAAGAACTACTTAGCTTTGAGAGACCCCTCCTCAGCTTTGGCACTTTCTGCAAACATTTCAAGTCTTCCCAAAGCATTCAAGCTGAGAAAAACAACTTGTCCCACAATATTTCTAGAAGTGGAAGGTATTTCTCCCATTTTGTGAAAATTGTCCTGATTTTGGATCCAGCTCCACAGCTGCTTCCACACGGATTTACTGCCTGCAGCCGTGCAAAGTGGGAAGAGCAAGTCTCATGCCCATGGATGAAGAGGCTGAACACAGGCACTGTCCCCAGCTGCCCCACGTGCAAGATGGTGTCCAGCCAGGTAGAGGTTCCCAGAGCAGGAGGCCATGGCTGGAGAAGACGGGGCTCTCCAGCTGCAGGAGCAGCTATGCTTGCCCTGGGAGCCCAG